AAAAATAAGAAAAAAACGTGCCTTTGATGCTGTTGCTGTCATACATTATAAGATAGCGATAAGTATGTTTGTTGTTTATTTCTAGACTGCACATATATCACTGACCATATTTCATGATCACTGTCATTAAACAATTTCCTCAGTAATAACATAGGTAGCAAGATAGCTAAGCGTCTGAACTTTTAGTTGCCCGCAAAACAGCAGTATACAGTGGTAGAAGATGAGTATTTTGTGTCTCAATTAAATGTAGCTGGCTGTGGACAAATGTTAAGAATCTTTTTGACAACTGGGACATTTAGTTTATCAGACACTAACTCTGCTTGTATGTCTTCCTGTTAAACTAGACGCAGATGCAAGGGAATACTTAAATGGTAGCAAAATAATAAAAGCATTGCAGTACGGTACTAAGCCCATGTTATGCTTTGCGCAAGTAATAGTAGCTGACTTTATCTAATATTCACGAACTCAAGGTAAATCACAACTGCATAAATTCTTTGCTAAAAAACATGTAATTTGGTTATTTATCTATTCCACATTTCTGACTAAATTCATTACTATTTTTTCATTTAGAATGCAACAGAAGTGAGTCTTCACAGATCCTAAAAACTTTCGCCCTTAGAACTATGGCCCTATGGAACTGTTTACGGGAGACCCAACTAACAGCAGATTATAAAAACGATGTTGGACGTCCATTTTGGTCTCACAACCACTTCCAGTATTTTTTGACTTCTTTTACACTTTCTTTTGGAAAAAAACAACAAAAACTGCGGCTCAACATTACCAATACAACTTTTAAACGGGAACTTGGTTTACATCTTTGTTTGATATTCAAAGAAAGCCGACCGCCATTTTTTACAAAGATGGTGGAAATAATAATTCCCGCCCCATTCTGATTGGTTGCTAATTTGAAGGACACATGTACGAAATTGGGTTGCGTTTAAGTGCAGCTGAAAAATAGCTTCCTTTCAAAGCTTTCATGCTTGAGTAACTTACTTGTTGCAAGAGAGGATTGAAAAGCAGCCCCAAATAACGGTCTGTCCGTCAATGTGACATTCATAGATTTCAGAAAGGCATTTGACAAGATTTCACACTTATATTTTATGCACAAAGTGTCGACCTTCAGAATAAAAGGCGATGTACATAAATGGATACGAAACTTCTTATGTGATCGCAGACAGAGAGTAAGGTCCAGTGGAACGCTATCCGACTGGAAGCCAGTCATAAGTAGTGTACTCCAAGGCTTTATCTTAGGCTCTCTATTTTTCCTTCTCTACGTTAATGCGTTACAACTGTTGCTAAAATAGTCAACATTATTGTTTGAGGATGGTGCAAAAATCTGAAGAACAATAAGAAGTGAAGCTGCATATTTTGATCTCTTAGCTGATTTAGATTGTAGTGACCTAGTTTTATGAACAGAACGCAATTGGTATAATGGAAACAATTATTATTATAACCAACTTTACCAGTGATTGTTTTACTGTACTCGTTTGTTTAAGTGTACTCAAAACATACATTCTTTCGTTGACTGTGATCTTGCATGCACTCGCGTAAGCTCAGTAGTTCCTTTTGCAAACTTTGATCTCGGTATTATTTCGATACCACGAGATCGCCGACAAATATATCTTATTACAACCGTCAACTGCCTTCTGGTTTTGGCATACGAAGGGATGAAACCTAATATCCGGCAAGTAATCTTCTGTAGTGGTGATCATAGTCAATTGACGCCTACTGCCAGTTATATGGGCTCGAGGTTGGGGCTTAAAATTTAATTCTAGAAAGACTGTGCTCATGCTCAGCGGACTCGGCAATAGGTATCATTAAACTACTGACAGAAAACTTCCTCGCGTTGAAGAATATATAGTTAGGAGTGATAGTAAGTTATAACTTGAAAACAACTACGCATCGCAACGCAGCTGCTGTCAAAGGTTTTGCAAACCAATGTTTCTTCAACAAACTAGTCATAGGCGGAACTATATTACCACATGGACTTCACCGGATCACACTGCACAAAACCAAATCGACCATATCTGCATCAACGGAAAGTTCAGGAGGACGATGGAAGACGTGAGAACCAAGAGATGAGCTGATATAACATCAGACCACCACTTGCTGATCGACAAGATGAAACTGAAACTCAGGGAACATTGGACAACGAGTCTGACAACATCGCAAAAGTTTAATACGGCCTTTCTTTGACATACTTACAAACACAACGAATTCAAGAAAGGGATCATGTAAGCAATCGCTTCAACATGTCATGAGGTTCTGGGCCACAATAAGCACCACCACAAGGAACGGATCACTGTTGATACACTGGATAAGATTCAAGAAAGGAGGAACAAGAAGGCAGCAATCGGTATCAGCATAACAAAAGCAGAGAAAACCAAGGCACAAGATGAATGCACAGAAGCGAACAAGCAAGTAGAGAGCAGCAGAGAGTCGAAAAACGTAAATATGTGGAAGGTCCAGGAATGACGGTGGAAAAGGCCGCAATCGAAGGAAACATGAGACAATTGTTCGACACAACAAAGAAACTCGCTGGAAATTATCGTAAGCCAGGACGACCAGTGGAAAGTCAAGTAATCACCAACACTAGGGAACAACGAAACAGGTGAGTGGAGCACTTCAAGGAACTCTTGGATCAGCCAGCCCCACTGAGCCCACACAACATACAGGCAACACCTACAGACACCTCAATCGACGTTGGCCCACCAACAATTAAAGAGATCAGCATATCTAGTCCTTTACACACACTATGCAGGTAGGATCGACCAACTATTCAATATACAATTGTCGTGTAAATAATGCCTATGCACAGTCATTTCTCTCTTGGATAGCTCAGTTGTCACCTCCCGGATCGCGGTCTAGGGTCCCAACGTTAGAAATCACTCATCACTTTTAAACCACTGATATTGACAAGTGGTTTCAAAGACAAAAGTTCTAGTTAGTTATTTTAAGTATCTCAACTACACAACTGTGGTTTTTGAATGAACTAATAATCCCTGTATACCTACTGAATGCTTGACTTCGAATTCCGAATACAGTACACTTGTTAGTGCTTATCTAGTACTTCTTGATTCGATTACGTTATTTCTGGGATTCTTAGTTCATACTATAATCCAAATACTTCTAATCATCCCAGCAACTTGTACACTACTCCAACTCACTGCTTGAGGGCACGTAGCCATGTTGGTAGATACATATAATTTGGTTGGGGTCCGCACGATATAAATAGTAGTTGGATACGTTGATTAACATAACTTAATGATTGTTATCTTGTTGCGATATGTTGTGACAACTTAAACCAATGAACAAATGTGCTACGTCCTCTGTCGCATATGACTGACTAACTAATTAGGCAGATAGGTAACTCAAATTCTCACTTTTATAAACTTCCAATTGAGACACAAGGAAGTTATATGAGTGACAAGTATGTCCATCACTGTGGAAGAACTATAAAAAGATATGACATAGATAAATAGACCTTATGTTAGAAGGGATACGTTACGTTGCAATGTTAAACTCACCAACTCTTCCATCGATATTGCGTCATTTTTATGATTATCGAATGCTGATTATTAAGCTAATATATGGAGGATCAAGAAGTCGATTAATACGATAGATTAAATAGCATGATGTCAATCATCCCCCACCGTACTTGAAGTTGTTCCCAACCTAAATAAACAAATCATAACATTTCTAATTGTGATTTAAATCTATCACCAAGTACAGATTCGCGTACTTTCCTATAAGTCATATTTATATATGTATGCGGGGGGATTGTGATGCTACCCGACTGCCCAAACAGACGCAAATGGTTCAGGACCTAAACATTTTTGACCTAAAAGTGCCAACTAGTGACGCAAGTTCGCATCCTTTACATAACATCATATTCATAAGTTTTGGAAATAAACATGGTTGACGAATACCAGTCAGTAGACACTCCATATTTAAAGGTTCTGTTCAACTTACTACACTAACCATCTAACAATACGAAATTTACAAAAATGTAAAGCAGAGCAGATCTTATGTCTCACAAAACATATCTAAAAAGTTCAAGGTTTAAAAAGGTTACTTTAACACATTAAAAACAAATTCAATTAAATCACTAGTATACAAAATGAAATAATAGCAAGATATTACTGTTAATTTATTTTGGTTTATTGGTAGTATGTTGAAATAACTAATAAAATGCTAAATATGATTAGATAAAGAGTGTAGAGAGAGAGAGAGAGAGATAATGTGAACAAAAACAATAAAAATCATAGGAATGAAAACAAAATGTAAATAGATATTACTTGAGATTTCTAATCAATTGTAAGTAGTACTAGTAGTACTAGTAGTAGTAATTACTGAAATAGAGAATACGAAGTGAAGCAATAGAGGATAGATAGGGAAAGTTTATAAACAATATGTAGGAATGAATTGATACAAAGCAAAATTATGAATAGATGGAATGATCAGGCAGAATAATCGATAAAACAATAGCTTACAATAACAATTAATATAATCATTAATTTTAGATGGGGAAAAAAAAGTACACAAGAACATATTTATTATGTTGAAAAAATCAAAGAATAATTGAATAATAAACACGGGATCGAACATAGAAATGCACAAATGAATTCTTATCATTATGTTCATCATTCTTTATACAATTGTATACCTATCACTATATTGAATGATGAACATACAAATATACGTTGACACATGTGTAGTAAGCAAATTTAAAGGTGGTTTGTAGACTGAAGATCTTTATTAGATGAGAGAAAAAAAGATAAGCATTTGAATTGATTGGAAACTATGCATAGTTGGTTATTATGCCAAATTTTGTATTTGTATATGGGTCTATATATATATGATTGAATTTCTCGCAATGTTGAATAAACAAAACAGTTATAATCATTCATTTAAACAAACAGTAGTATAGAAGTTGATTTGTTGAAGTGAAGATAAGAGGCTGATGAATTTGAAAAATACAAACAAAGAAGATTGTCTGTTTAACATCTTGTTTCATATAAACCACTTTTACCAATATAGCGAACCCATTTCACTACATCATGATCCGAATAATTCAATTTAGATTCGAACACTTTTAAGAAACGAACTTTAAATCCAGACGGTGCAAATGGTACCTAATATCATTATAATTACCATCAACATTGAAAATAGTATGTTGTTTTTTTAGGGAGGGGGTGGGAGAGGAGAGCATGAAAGTATATATAATTAATGAGTATTAATCGTTTTCAAAATCAATAAGAATTTATTAAAAAAATCAATAAAATCAACAAATAAATAATTGTACTCGCTTATTTTTCTGTTGCTATTTGACATTATACAATCAATTTGACTTGTAGCAAATAGTTGTTATCACACACCTTTGGGTAAATAAATCATTCTATTTATCCTATATCACATCTATATATGTGAGACTTTGCTAATTATTCATGTGTAACATTAAGTATGCCCCCAAAATGACGTGCTACGGCCGAGACTGGAGAGAGTCAGTCCTCCCTCTCGAAATGCTCTTACATGGCCACGCGTATACAGCCACTGACAGGGAATCCCTAATCACTGCCTTTTTGTAGCATTACTGTTGTTTACAAAATTGAGAGGATGAAAGTCGAATGTTCGGCGCTTTAATCCGGTTGGTGGATATGGAGGATCCACCTAGGGGAGTTGGAAAACTCTCATTCCAAACCAATGGTGTACATGAGCTCCAGGATCCTAAGGAAACAAATGGCGTATGAACGTATTGTTGGTCACTGGTTACCATGGGACCGCATCTCTTGACGTTGCTCCACTACCTCGTTGGTCAGACCTATAGGTCGAAGGCTCCGGGTGTGGTCTCCTAAGAAAACTATCTGGTTCGGTTTTGGCACCCGGGTAGTATCACAGCCCTCACACAATTCGAATGAATGAGTTATGTGGCACATATCCATTTGGTGCCTTCTTGTACTAATGTTTGTGCTTAAAGAATAATAATGGTTTATACATGAGTGTATACTTGAACATGTGTTTGTATACTTTACTTATTTGCATCTCTTTCATGTTTAGAAAAACTGAGTTACTTATTACTCAGTGAGTTGGTTATTTCTGCCACTCCAGTTCACGTAAATTTCTTCTCATCTCTTATCATTCGTCTGTATGAATCAATGTCTGACATACATATTTTTTAAATACTTTCATATTCGAATTCTGATATGCATGTTGTTATTAACGGGATGCGCCGACAGAATATATACGAAGTAAATAAGATATACATTTCATTAACATTAATATAATTCCATAATTACAAACTCAGATTGCGGGTCTAGAGACTTACAGACAAGTAGAACGTTTTTAATCGCTTAACCCTAGATAATCGTAATACATACATGGATGATGATTACGATGATAATGATCCCAAATTTATTAGATATGATTTATTCATTTGCCAAGGTACAGGTTTAAATACTCATCTTTGAGTCACACTTTAGTTATATGGTGCCTAGTGATATTACCCCACTAAGTGAATTCGATGGGGTAACGATGGGGAGAGCTGCCAAGTTAATTTATTTATTAGTTTGAGCACATTGGTATAAAGAGGCGCCACACAAGTCACTTGATTTGTGTGTGGGTTATGATATTGCCCGGGTGCCCAAACCGAAGCAGGTGGTATTCTTAGGGGGCCACATACGGAGCCTTTGACCTAAAGGTTTGATCGACAAGGCAATGGGGCAACATAAGGAGATGCAGCCCCATGGTAATCGGTGGCCAATAATTGGTTCATATGCCATTTGTTGCCTCGGAATTCTGGAGCCCATGCACACCATTAGTTCAGAATTGGGGTTTTCCACTTCCCCTAGGTGGATCCTCCGTGCCCGAAACTCCAATCTACTGACTGAAAACCGGATGTCACTATTCCACATCATCATTTATTAAGCCTATCTACTAATGCTACTATGTTTTTTTAGTTTCCAACGATTGTTGTCGACTACTCATAATCGGCGTAGAGCTTGGGACCAACGTGTTTTAGTCCAATTTCCTACACTGTACCGGCACGACAAGGTAAGATCTGCGGGACAACAACAGACATTATAACCAAAGGCAGATGGAGGCTAGTAGTAGAATTCAGGATGCACGTTTCATCCTATTTGGGAATCATCATCAGCTGGATGTAACTGAATAACAAGAGTCAAAATAATCGTAGTAGCAATTATGAATAAGCAAAGCTAAACATTGAGAATATGGCTACAGAAGACTGAGTGAAAAAATATATGGAGATACTGAATCTCGAGGAAGACAAATAAACGGTGAATGCATCGATGATACTGTGGCTGACTCTAAACAATGTCACTTCTTGTTGTGATAATAAGTACTGAACGATCAGATCTATACGAAACGGCGCTTAAAAAAGTTACTATACATAATGATTATAATAATAGTAACATGAAAAAAAAAATGATAAACGAACCTCGAAATTCATAGAAATCGGTGGACGCATCCAACGTTTTTGTTTATCTGAAGCTTGTAACAATTCAATTTCCGCAGATAATTGACAATCTTTCATACCAGATATTCGTCTAATCCTAAAAAAATATAAACATATAGTAGAAGTTATAACTCGTTACTACTACTCCTTGTCCATCCTACTAGGAACATGACATTTAAATGAGTTTGCCAAAGAAATTCATTCAAAGTTCGATCATTATCGACAATGACTAATCGTATGAGACCTCAAGTTATCCAAATGAGGTAACTGCAACTAATCATTAAATTTACATGCAACATTTCCCTTTTTATCAAGTTATGCCAGAATTCTTTATATGTTGAATCTAATGAAATTACTTGATATGAACATAACAGATATTTTTCAAACAGAATACACGAGATAGGAGAATAAAAAATATCAATAATATCCAAGACAGAAATTAAGGAACATAAAGAATGAAGGCAACTGAGGTTAACTGTGATTGGGTGAGATTTTGGAAGCTGATCTGATGGAAGCAAGTAATTCTAGTGTGGATTTATTACTTGGAGAAAGGCTTTTCGATTCTGTATGCGCAGAAGATAGTCTTACTGTGTGACGTGGTTACACCACATAATCCTCACTTAATCATTTGACAATCAATATTCGTAGTTCTGGCATGTGCTTCGCACTCGCAGGACCTTGATCCTGTACTCACTCTGGGTAGTCAACAGTTAAAGGTAGTAGAGAATTTCGTGTCAATCGGTATCTGAGTAATTGCTGGCTGTTGAGTTAGGGATGAGATCAACTCATGTATAGTCAAAACCAGAGGGGCTTATACCAATCTGGACTATTTTCAGTGCCTTCGTAATGTTAGTCAGGCTGTAAAAGGTCGGATCTACAATGCATCCGCAAGAGCAGTCTTGCTCTATGCTTTCGAAACCTAGTCTCTCTGAGTTGAGAATTTTAAGGAGCTTTCTGAGTTTGATCCTTGTTTTTGAAGGATTGCTTCCATCCAGTTGCAACACCATGTTAGAAACACAGAGGTTCTGAAATACGTGTTCGGGTAGGTTAACGACAATTCAGTTGGTGTTATTATCTTACAACACCAGCTTTGGGTGCTTCAACATGTTATATCAAGGTCTTCCCAGATACTTCCAAATGGACGGTAAGACTGGTTAGAAAAATTAAAGAAATGATCAATTCCTCGCATAGCAATGAAGGATGGAATAATGCTGTATAGGACAGTCGTCTATCGGTTCATCACAATTCCCTGGTCCGGGAGCAACTCAAAAGTTTGAAACGTTATCAGACATCAATCAGAATATAAGTCAATGACGATCCTATCATAATTTTAGTTTACATTTTTCATAATGGTGAAAGGAACTCCTTTAACTGGAACGATTCTTTCTAGTCGTATCTTTAAACTAAACTCCATTTCTCACTACATTCTACTATCATTAATTTATTTTCACTCATTTAATTACCTTTTTTACCATATTTACTCTACTTCCTTTATCTCTTCACAATTTCATTCACTTATTCATGTGGCGCGTATTTATTCTGACACCGATTTAATGAGGTGGTGAAACTTCATCAGTTGAGATGGCTGGGACACGTGTTACGTATGCCCAACCACCGACTGCTTCGACGTGCTATGTTTTACGGTGTAGGAGTAGGTTGGAAGAAAGCTAGGGGCGGCCAAACCAAAACATGGCACAAGTCCATTACGTCACTGACAAGTGGATCGAGCCATGTTGGTAGGTGTAGACTACCTGGTTGGGGACCACGAGATGATAGCAACCGATGGTTAGAGACCTTGAATGACATGGCTCAAAATCGTTCGCAATGGTGCAGGTGCATCCACTCTTTGTGCTCTCCCAAATTCTAATCTTCTGAATTCTTCATGTCCCTTATTTTCTTTCCAAATTTATTTCATTGTATTATACTCCTTCAATAACATCTTCAAACCCTAATTCGAATCGACAACTGCATCTCTGTGCTAATGTGGTATGGTAACTCGAACTGACGTACGTACGTACGAAGTTCTACGTTGTTACTGACTGACATGCTAATATATATGTGTTCAAATATATAAATCTAAATAATCATTTCACCGAATGTCAACCAATATCTTCAACTGTTAATTACGGCTACTGAGCAGTCCCTAACTAAAGAGTTTGGACATATTGCAACAACAATGAACAACATCATGTATTCGGGCTTTAAGATATATCTTTGATGTGATGTTAATTGATGATAATCTACTTTCTTTAAAACAAAAGAAACCTTCAATGTAACTTATTCACTAAATACAAGTTTATGTACTCAACTTTGAGCTCCACTATTTGAGTGAGGACCAGCAGTGTTATTGCTTGAGAGTTTAAATTAAAAAATCTATTAAATATTTGGTCTATAGTAGTTTTATACTACTCTTATATAAGCCTTCATTCCATTAGTTAGCTGTTGATAGATATACTTTCTATTATATGTTTTAAATCATCGTAAATTAATTATAGACTTATAACTCAGTTGTGTAACTCCGCCTGGAGTCCCTCCGGGGGCTACTGCCGGTCCCAAGCCCGGATAAAGGAGGAGGGTTGGGCATGGGGTTAGCATCCCCATCCCGTAGAAAACTAACTCGCTAAAAAAACGCTAAACAGAAAAAATTATTCTGTTGTTGAACTCAGTTGTGTATCACATGTAACCCAGTTATGTATACATTGTAATTTCTTATTCGCAGTGCATTGTGATTATGTAACTGATGTATGCAAGCCTATCAGTTTCTAAGTCATGATGACAACACAATAATAAAAGGTGAATCGTCTGGTTTTGTTCTGATTGGTCACTGGAGATAAACATTTATTTTATTTATTTATTTGAACACAAATATTGGTAAAAAGAAGCCCCGAATAAATATGTGCCACACAAGTCACCTGATTTGTGTGTGGGGTATGGTACTGTCGAGTGACCAAACCAAAGCAGATAGTTTTGCTGGGGACCACGCCCGGAGCCTTCGACATCAAGATCTGATTCACAAGGTAGTGAAGCAACGTTAGGAGATGTAGTCTCATGATATCCGATGACCAATAATTGGTTCATACGTCATTTGTTCCTTCAGGATTTTAAAGCCCATGCTCACCATTGGTTCGGAATCGGGGTTTTCCAATTCCCCTAGGTGGATCTTCTATATCTACCGAACCGGTTAAAGAGCCGGACATTCCACTTTCATCCTCTCAATTTCGTAAAAACCGGTAATGCGACGAGAAGGCAGTGATTAGGAATTCCCTGTCAGTGACTGTATACGCATGGTCATGTAAGAGCATTTCGAGAGGGGGAGGACTGACACTCCCTACTCTCGGTCGTAACCAGAGCATTTGGGGAGCAAAGAAAAACAGAGTAACACGAATCGACCAATAAGCAAAAGAATCCCGATCATTTGTCTTATTGTTTAAATAGGTCATTAGTCTAATTGATATAAAGAGGATTAGCGATAAACAACTATTATAATCAAGTTCTTTTAAATATGACTATATAAACAAACATAAAATTCATAGCAATAAATAATATTACTACTGAGTCAAGTATTAAAACATTCAATAACAACAACAACAACAAAGAATAAATAAACTCACTTCCAAATAATAGCATTTTCAGCTGCTTTATATTTTGCTCTACCTTTCATACATACAACTTGTACACCACTTGTATTCATTGGAGTCGGTATATGAACTTCAATTTTTTGTGCAAATAAATTAGGACGAAAATTAGCTTTTAAAATTACTTTAACATCCATTTTAGTTTTACCAAGTTCACGAACTAATGGTATGACACGAAATGGTAAACTGATCTCCTAAAATAATGTTAGATTATTATTTTTGAGTAGTAAAGCAACAAAACAAACAAACAAACAATAGATTCTTATTTATCATTATTTACTCTGGAAGTAAACAAAAAGAAACACCTACATCTCAATATACGTAGGTCTGTACAATAGAATTTATGAACTGATGTTATATCATGTTATCTTATCCTTCTTAAGAATAGTCCTCATTTTGACAGTTTTGTTCTTTGAGCTGGATGATTTTGGTTGCGAAGCTTTCATTGTTCTTCTGAACGACATCATCATCAGCAGCCCAAACTCCAGACCCCAAATGCCCTGGTACGGCCGAGAGTGGGAAGAGTACGCTCTCCCTCTCGAAATGCTCTCACATGGCCACGCATATATAACCTCTGCCAGGGAAGTCCTACTCACTAACTTCTCGTGGCGGCGGTGTTGCTCACAAAATTGAGAGGACGAAAAGCGAAAGTCCGGTTCTTTAACCGGGTTGGTGGACACGGAGACTCCACTTAGGGGAGTTGGAAAACCCTCACTCCAAACCAATGCTCCACATGGGCTCCAGTATCCTGAAGGAACAAATGGCATATGAACCTATTGTTGGTCACCAGTTACCATAGGACTACATCTGACGTTGTTCCACTGCCTTATGAATCAGACTTTTAGGTCGAGAGCTCCAGGTGTGGCTCCCTAAGAAAACCACCTGCTTCGGTTTTGGCACAAATTTAATGATATTTGTGTGACGCATACGTATCTGGTGCCCCCTTGCACCAATACCTATGTGTTCAAATAAATAATAATAATAAATAGCACAAACTCCAAGTAGAAGTGAAGTGTTCGAGCCATATATAGAGAAGTTTGAATACCTCACTTCTACTTGAAGTTTGTGTTGATGATGATGTCGTTCAGAAGAACAATGAAAGCTTCAGGACCAAACCATTCAGCTTAGATAACAAAACTCGATCAACATCATCCATCTGAGCTAGAAATCTTCTCCACAATCACAATACTCCTCATCTTTTTAATCGTACACTTGTTCCATAATCATTTTTATTGCTTAAAACATTTCTGAAAACTATCATCAATTAGACTCTTAAAGTTGCATTTACGTTTTATGTTTTATTATCTATCTATTTGAACACTTCAATATTAGCATAAATCAATATCAGAATAAATAAGCGCTAAATGAATAAGTCAATGAAATTGTGAAGATATAAAAGAAGTAGAGTGAATATGGTAAAAAAGGTAATTAAATGAGTGAAAATAACTTAACGACAATAGAATGTACTGAGAAATGAAGTTTGGTATACAAAGATACAACTAGAAAGAATTGTTTCAGTTAGAGGAGTTCTTCTTACTTATATGAGGAATGTAAGAGAAAATTATAGTAGAAGTAGGTCCAAAAATAATCGTCCTGATAAGTCTTCTAAGTGAACACTCGGATAGGTTTCCTAAGCTCTTCTGATAACTCCAAGGTTAGTTTTATGTAAAGAAAATAGAGGGTATTTATAGTATTTCAGATAGTCATGGACTTCCGAAGGTTTCTAGAAGCATACGACAAGAACCAGGGAATTGTGATGGACCGACAGATGACAGTCTTATACCGTTTTCATACCACGACACCATTTATTCATCTACGAATTTGTATATAAGATTCTAGAATAAAAGTAAATACCAGGGCCACAAACCACCAGGCTCAGATGCCCTACCTCTGGCCCGTTTTAAAAATGATGGCGAACTTCTGGTTGAGGAACTGACTTAGTTGTTTACAAAGGTCTGCAAATTGAGGGTGTTCCAACATCATGGAATGAGTCGATAGTCTTCTCTATCTTTAAAAAGGGTTCACGTCGTTTCTGTAACAAATATCGGGGGATGAATACACTTCCAATTGCGTCCAAGCTATTAGATTCCGTCATACTTCCTAGGTTGTTCAAAACCCGAGAAAGATTGACTCACTAAGAACAGGCTGATTCCCGTTCTAGTCTAGGATGTATCAATCATATATTCATCCTCTGACAAATTTTAGAACAGTCATACTTATTACAGGCCAACAATCGTAGTGTTTCTTGAAATTAGGGCCGCCTTCCACTTGTTAGATAGGATTGTTCTCTGGGATTGTCTATTGAAGAAGGGTGTGCCTGCGAGGTTTATTAACATCCTAAAGGCTCTATACACAAACACCTCAGGTAGGGTGAGGGCATACAACCACCTATCTCCATTGTTCCATTCGAGCAGTGGGGTTAGACAGGGTTGCCCAATCTCACCATTCCTCTTCAACTTTGCCATCGATGACATTCTGGAAACAGCTCTGATGGGTGTAAGTAATGGCGATGTAGATCTGCTGCCTGGAGAAAGACTTCTCGACTTTGAGTATGCGGATGATATTGTCTTACTGTGCGATAATGCTCAAGGCATGCAATCCGCACTTAATCCGTTGGTAATTAATATCCGTAGCTATGGCACGTACTTTTCACCTTCGAAGTGCAAATTACTTTCACAATACTGGCAGGGTCTTAATCCTGCACTCATTCCGGGTAGACAACAGTTAGAATTAGTAGAGAATTTCGAATATATGGATAGCTGAGTAATTGATGGTGATTAAGTGAGAGATGAGATCAATGCACGTATAGTCAAAACCAGAGAGGTTTATGCCAATGTGGACCGTCGTCGGCGTCTTCACGATGTCAGTCTACTTGCAAAAGGTCGAATCTACAACGCGTCGGTGAGAGAAGTTTTGCTCTATGTTTATGAAACCTGGTCTCTGAGTTGAAGATGTTAGATTACTCTGTATTTGATTATCTCAGAACGATTGCTGACATCTAGTGGCAACAATATGTTAGTAATGCAGATAGGTGGTCAGTGTATGACATGGTGTCGTAGTTATGAAAACATCACAGCAGTTGGTTAGAATGCTAGAGAACGGAGATTAAAAGTATTAAGACTGTAGGATAGTATAATCCGAACACTGATTGAATTACAAACGATTTATCTAACCATTATTTGACTTATTTGAATCGTTTTATTAAATGTTTATTTTTTTTATCGAAAGTTTAGTCTATTCGCGTTTCCAATATCGTTCTCATTTGAAGTACACGAACTCAGTACTAATTTATTGCTGAATGAAACCGAAGTGATGTATCAGCTTGACATAGGTAATCTTAATTTCATGTAACTTGATCTCTTGATAAATTTGAATAAAGCAAGGACAACAAAACAAATTCTTCCTTTTATTTATGGCCCAACCGTTGTCGCTACCTTGACGTGGTGGTCGGGATTGCCTATCGTGATGAAGCAACCGAGCTATAAGGGCTGGAACAACCGTTCCTCAAGGTCCTACCATGTCAGACAGGTCGGTTGAAGAGCGGTAAGACTAAAAGCAACAAACCCAAGGTCCGAAGGCGAAGTCGTACTGCTGACTGTACACGGGTGTGACAGCAGTAAGGTGTTTCCTTCAGACAACCAGCATGACAGCGATGCTGCCTTCCCACAAGGAGGGGTGGGGTTAGAAAAGGTCGACCCTAAAAATGCACACCTCACCCTACCTCACGGATTTCCGTCTCCGGCGGTAAGGCCCTTTGAAGAACGGAGCTAACACGTCAAAAACCTCCCACGAAAAGGCCGTGCACGACCGGCCTCAAGCAGTTGTCCCTTGGGCACTGCGGTCACGCTCTCAGGTCACTGAGACCGCCTCTAATCCAATTTCCTTTTCAGGTACCTCCAGAAGAACCCTTCCTCGGTGTGGGCAACCGAGAAGTGATAACCGCCCTCATACCTCTAACAGCACTCGAGACCACTGTATTCATAATCAACCTTCCTCTTCAATTCATATTATTCCTCCTACATCGACTTTCAACTCTAAACTTCCTCCTTCGGTTTCCTCCTCAAGTGTCACCATAGCCAACGATTCTAGTGCTCAAAACTCTGCCCCAGGTCTACTGAAACCTCGCTCCAAACTACACATTGGAGCCTTCAACGTACGCACCCGATGTCAAATCGGTCAGCAGGCTTCCTTGGCTAAAACCCTAGAGTCTCTTTCCATTGATGTATGCTGTGTCTCTGAAACACGCATACAGGATCCCAGTGTGGTCATTCACTTGACCTCACCTCGGCAAAACGGAGAGCCAACGAGATACACCCTTCGTGTATCTGGTGACCCGACGGCCAGTTCTCGTGGACTGGCAGGTGTAGGCATAGCACTAAGCATGAGGGCCGAACAAGCACTGCTAGAGTGGATCCCCGTCAACAGTCGTCTATGTGCTGTTCGGCTGAACGGCTACGTAAGAACTCGGAAGGATAGGGACACACGTCGTTGCCTTTTTGTCGTTTCTGTCTACGCTCCCGCTGACTGCAGCTCAGATGAAGTGAAAGATGAATTTTACAGAAAGCTTTCTGAACTTCTTCAGAAAGCTAAACGCTCAGACATAGTACTCGTAGGGGGTGACTTTAATGCTCAGATAGGTAGCTTAAACCAAACAGAAAGGCATTTAGGTGGATATTTTAGCATTCCGGCACAACGAACAGATAATGGTGACCGTCTGCTGCAACTGTGCTCAGACAATCGCTTATTTTTAGCAAACACAAATTTTAAGCATAAGGAGAGACATCGTCTAACATGGCGACACCCTACACCAAACCAACGATGGACTCAAATAGACTATATTGCCATCAGTCATCGTTGGAGAGGGTCGGTAGAAGATTGTCGCTCATTCTGGAGTACCTGCTGGGACTCCGGCCACGCCCTAATACGGGCACGCATCTGCTTGCGCCTCACTGGACGCAAAAACGCCACAGTAAAAAGACCCATTAGAACCGAACTGAGTAGCGAGGAAACCAAAAGTAGGTTCCAGGAACAACTGAGGTCATGATTAAGTAGTTTTGAAAACGAGGTTGACCAAGTTGTTGCTTGGAAAGCCATACAAACAGCTGTGGAAACAGCAGTGACATCTATCGGTGATTTAAACCACAGGGTTACTAAGAACCAGTGGATTCCTTCAAAGTCTATCACACTGATGGATTCTCGCAAACTCGTCCCATCAGGTTCCGAACATGATGAAGAGCGACAACAAATCAGATCTAGGTTAAGAAAAAGTCTAAGAAACGACCGTGAGCAGTGGTGGGCATCGAAAGCAAAAGAGATGGAAAAGGCGGCGACTATAGGGAACACAAGACAGTTTTACAGACTAATAAAAGAAACTGGAATTAATAAGTCAGGTGTAAGTCAGACTATTTCGGAAAAAGACGATACTCTCATCTGCTCCCAGTCCAGACGTTTAGAACGATGGGCGGAACATTTCAGAGAACAGTTCAGCTGGCCTTCAGCTACTCTACAACTACCCTCCATTCCCAGACAGTGTGAATGGAACATTGAAGTAGGTCCCCCCAACTCTTGCTGAAGTTCAAAAGGCTATAGTTAATCTGAAACGAGGAAGGGCAGCTGGTCCAGATGGACTGGCTCCAGAGGTCTTTAAGGATGGTGGTCCAATTTTAGCGATTAGGTTGACTAATATTTTAGCTATCTGGGAGTTAGACGTTATCCCATCTAACTGGTCACAATCACTTATCGTCCCAATATATAGGAAAAGGGTCAAAATCATCCTGTGACAACCACAGAGGGATTAGTTTAACTAATATAATATCTAAAATACTAGCTTCGATAATTATCAGACGCCTAACTAAGACTCGTGAACTGCAAACATGAGAGACTCAAGCTGGCTTTAGACCTGGTCGTGGCTGCATCGACCAAATATTCACCATTCGTCAGATTCTAGAACACAGGCATACTTATCGGCGTCCGACAATGGTGGTCTTTCTCGACTTAAAAGCAGCATTTCACTCGGTAGACCGCGAGATTCTGTGGCAGTGTCTGTTATTGAAAGGCGTACCACAGAAGTACACAAACCTTGTGAAGGCTCTTTACTCGAACACTACTAGTCGAGTCAGAGCTTATGGCGAACTGTCATCTACTTTTGCAACCTCAAGTGGTGTCCGTCAAGGCTGTCCACTTTCCCCATTTTTGTTCAACTTCATCATAGATCTACTGATGGAAATAACTTTCTCTTCGACTGAGTTCTCGGGTATTGATCTCCATCCAGGAGGTCCACTTAACGACTTAGAATACGCAGATGACATAGTCCTGCTTGGTGAAGACGCTGACAAAATGCAGAGTCTTTTGGTAGCACTAAGCAACAATTCCAGAATGTTTGGAATGCGCTTCTCTCCCTCTAAATGCAAGTTGTTGCTTCAGGACTGGTCTGCGTCAACACCTGAACTAAGGGTAGGGAGTGAAGTAGTCGAACGCGTTGGCAACTTCAATTATCTTGGAAGTCTGATCAGCCCTAATGGGTTGGTGTCTGACGAAATCTCAGCACGGATTCGAAAAGCTCGCTTGGCTTTTGCCAACTTGCGTCACCTTTGGCGGAGGCGAGATATCCGTCTATCAATAAAAGGACGGGTATACTGCGCGGCAGTCCGTTCTGTTTTACTTTACGGCAGCGAAACATGGCCATTAAGAGTAGAAGACACTCGTAAGCTATTAGTATTTGACCACAGATGCCTCAGAAATATTGCTGGCATCTGCTGGGATCACTGGGTAAGTAATAGTGAGGTTAGACGCAGGGTATTAGGGAAGGATGGTAAATCAGTCGATGAGGTTATGAATCTTCATCGACTGAGATGGTTGGGCCACGTGTTACGTATGCCTGAACACCGACTACCACGACGTGCAATGCTATCCGGTATTGGAGATGGTTGGAAGAAAGTTAGGGGCGGCCAAACCAAAACGTGGCATCAGTGCTTGAAGACACTGACTTCTAGTTTGAGCCATGTTGGTAGATGCAGACTACTTAGTTGGGGTCCGCGTGACTATCGTAACCAATGGTTGTAGACTGTGGGTGACATGGCTCAGAATCGGTCACAATGACGTCGGTGTATACACTCTCTGTCTTCCCTTAAACTAAGAGATTAAAATCGCTTCATATCTTTCTTTCTACGAACTAATTATTTCTTCCTGTACTATATCCTTATATGCAATCTTTTTTTATATATATTACCACCTCTGAATTAACTACTTTTATGAATCCAGTGTTCATCTTGTTGTGCTGATGCGGTATGGCAACCTGGACCGATGCACATATGTGCCTGGTCCTACGTTGTAGCTGACTGACTGACTGACTTTATTTATGGGCTTCTCATCAGCTGAAAACACCTCTAAAGTTACAAAGAGTAATGTGATTAGAAACAAGGATTTAACATCACTTAGCGAATTTGAACTGGGTGTTTGAAATGGAGGCAAGAGACACGTTAATAAACATGACTAATGATTATTAACGTGTTGAAGGACACCTACAAAATTACAACTAGTTATATGAAATAAGTGGGGGATAACTAACAAAAGCTTCTGCCAGGTTTCTGGACATGTTCCAGGGAACCTGTTTGAAAGATAGTAAGGTTTACATATAAACAATCAGTAGGGTCTTAATAAGTGGTGAACAGAGCGTCGATATTTCTAAACGTAACTTATATGCACAGAAGGAAAATGTGATAATTTTCTCTTTGTCATGATAAATATAACCAAATAATTCTATGATACATAAAATCATTTGATCTTGACTTCACCTATGATGATTGATTACAATAGTCACTTATTCTATTGTGGTTATGTAATCCTGTTATTATTATAATGGTTAGTAGCTTCACCTCACTTTATATGAATAGTTGTGTTTTTGTGGATTTTCTTCAACACAAAAATACACAACACTGATAACTACGTTGATTCCCATTCACTGTGTCTTCTTCTACTGATTAGGATTTTCACCTCCATTTCAAACGTCCATTTCGAATTCGCTAAATAAAGTATTTTAAATCCTTGTTTCTAATTAGATTACTCTTCGTAACTTTAGTCAGTCAGTCAGTCAGTCAGTAACAACGTAGAACTTCGTACGTACGTACATCAGTTCGAGTTGCCACACCACATTAGCACACAGATGTAGTGGTCGATTCAAATCCCGTAGTGGTAGAGGTATTTGCAGCTGATGAGAAACCTAGAAATAAGACAAAGAATTCATTTTATTCTGCGAATGTTGATTTCTATGCACATAGAAACCAACCATGCATAGAAACCAACTTGTATCCAAAAGTGTATTACGAATGTTGATTTACTTCATTTATTCAGATGGTTTTAAGTTAAGATAATTCAATGTGAGAATAAACTAAGTAAATAAGCTCTGTGAATAAAACATTATCATATTAAGCACTGAACATTATACTTAACAATAGGATGTTCACGATGTAGCAACTTTATCTGATTCAAGAACTTGAATTTCAACCAGCAGGTTGTAGGTTCGCAATCTATAACATTTAATTCGGTATTTCAAACTGATTAATAATATAATTACATTTCATATTTAAGGTGTCGCTCAGACCAGAATACGTAAGCGCATATACGATAAATGATTTACATCATATTAATTAGTTACCTTAGTAGTTCTATAACGCATCAACTCGAATTCACCGTCTGGTGGAATAAAAGAGATTGTATGTTCAGTTTCGAATCGACCCAGTTTAACACATTGATGAAATTGACAGTCATCTATTGCAATACCTCCACTACTGAAATGAATTAGAGAGAACACAGTAGATAAGTAGAAAAATCAAAGTGAATTCGATTATGAGGAATAAATTAATGGTCATCAGTGTAATTTTAGGAAGAAAGTAAATGCGTAAAAGGACTGTTCTAGTCACGAATTAGTTTCTGAATAAATTGATAACACGTCCTTTTTTTCTCTTTCCGAATTTATTTCACTGGATTATACTCCTTGAATAACATCTTCAAACCCTAATGTTTCCGATTAAAGCTTATACTTTTACTAACTCTACTACTATGAGATTTGAATCGACAACTGCATCTCTGTGCTAATGTGGTGTGGCAACTCGAACTGATGTACGTACGTACGAAGTTCTACGTTGTTACTGACTGACTGACTGAGCGATAACCAATGGGTCATGTTATGTTTGTTCACAAATCGGAACGGGGGTTTAAAGGTTTTTTTATACGACAATTCTACAGGCAATAATTGCAATCGTACAAATTGTAAGAAGTGATGAAAAATACAAACAGTAACAAAACTAAGTAAAAAGACAATCTACTTTAGCTATCTCCACACGGACACAAATGTAACCCTTGAAATTGATACGAACACCAGGTCTACTGTTGTTCATTTCCTAGGTATTCTGAGAAACATATCAGCTTATCATATAATAGACAATTATAACGTCTCTGATTATAATAATAAGTGACATAGATTCAACTCAGGCAGAGAACACTAGTTTGCCAAAGACTTTGAGTACGCCTTATTGATAAATGCCAGTTAGGATCAAGCTTGAATTCATGGCTTTTTAGTGATTACCTCCAAAGCCCTAAACATTATAATATATATATATATATATATATAGAGAGAGAGAGAGTTAAATCGGTTACTGCGATCCTGACACGTTTGTTGTTCAATTAGCTTTATTTTGCATAATCAGAGTTCTTGCCTAATGTTATTGTTTGTTTAGTTGCTAACCATGAATAGAGTTCCATTTTTTTCATGGGGTATTAAGAAATGAATGATAAATATATATTTGATATTATTAACATTTAAAAGTTTAAAGTGTAAATTTTAAATTAAACGAATAGTAAAAGCGATTTACCTGTCTTCTGTACCAGCTGTAGATCGTTGTTTATTTTCCAAACTGACTTTGTCATTAAAACCAAATTTACATTCTGGCATACCACTTAAATAAGACTTCATGATCACTCGACCTGCCACATGTGCAGATAAAACTTGTCCTGATAAAAAATTTTATGATGAAAAGCTTTTACCATTTTAGTTAACCTATCACATTGTGCAAATCAACGAATAAAGTATATTCTTAATAAATGAGGATTAACTATATTTTGAATCGCTCCCAAATGCCCTGGTACGGCCGAGAGTGGGGTGGGTTCGCCCTCCCTCTCGAAATACTCTCACACGGCCACGCGTATACAGCCTCTACCAGGGAAGTCCTACTTATTGCCTTCTCGTGGCGCGGGTGTTGTTTACGAAAGTGAAAGGACGAAAATCGAATGTCCGGCGCTATAACCGGATTCCAAACCAATGGTGTACATGGGCTCCAGTATCCTGCGGGAACAAACGGCGTATGAACCAATTGTTGGTCACCGGCTACCATGGGACTGCATCCCTCACGATGCTCCACTGCCTTGTGGGTTAGACCATTAGGTCAAAGGCTCAGGGTGTGGTCCCCTAAGATAACCACCTGCTTCGGTTTGGGCACCCGGGCAGTATCACAGCCCACACACAATTAATGAACTGAACTGTCTATGATCACGGAAACTAATTCTCTTGCTTCGACGAACATTCAAATGATTCAATTATTATTATTGCTATTATTTATTATTATTATTATTATTATTATTATTATTATTATTATTATTATTATTATTTACTACATCATTAGTCACCCTCCTTTATTCCCACTCTGTTTATACTTATTTTTTTCGACCTATACAGCAGCTCGTCTATGGTGGAAATTCGACTGTATCTAAACGTTCTCGAGTCACTGCCCGGTTGAAAATTGTATGTTACCACCGAATACGAATACTAAAGCAGTTTTTCTGAAACCACGTGCACCAAACTGGCTGCCTTCAACGTTCGCACACTTATGCATGTCGGACAACAAATAGGGCTGGCTATGTCTTTGGAAAGTCTTTATATCGATGTTTGCTGTCTATCCGAGACCCGTATTCAAGACTCTGGTGAAGTACTACAAATTAACTCTCCATCTGTCGATTCAAAAAGCTTGTTTTACGTGCGCTTATCCGGGGACCCTGTGGCATCTTCGTCTGGTCTTGCTGGCGTTGGTGTCACACTAAGCGCTAGAGCTGAGGCAGCACTAATCGATTGGATCTCCATTAACAGTCGGTTATGTGCTGTTAGATTAGAAATTTCCATCAAAGTGAGAAGAAATCGGCGTGAGAAACGATGTCTTTACGTCATCTCCGCCTATGCCCCGACAGATTGCAGCCCGGATGCAATCAAGGATGAGTTTTACCACCAGTTATCTGTTCTTCTCCAGAAAGTGCGTTCGACAGATATTGTAGTACTAGCCGGAGACTTGAATGCTCAGGTCGGGCGTCTAGGCACAGAAGAGAGTCGTTTAGGTGGCCGATGGAGACTCGTTGGTCGCAGGTCAGATAACGGGGACCGTCTACTGCAACTGTGCACAGACCACAACCTGTTTCTGGCTAGCACTAACTTTCGGCACAGTCATCGCCGATGTGCCACCTAGCATCCTCCCTCTGCATCCCAAGCCTGGACTCAGATTGATCACATCGCGATCAGCTACCGCTGGCGTGGTTGTGTACAAAACTGACACTCCTTTTGGAGTACCTATCTGGACTCTGACCATGCCTTGGTCTGCGCCAATTTTACCTTACTTTTCAGTGGCCAACGAAGTGACCGCCACCAACGAATTGATGTTAGCAAGCTGGTTGCAACTTCTGTTGCAAGTAAGTATCGAACCGAGCTAGCCTCTAGGCTAGCTACCACTCCACCGAAAAGTATAGATGAGCATTGGTTGCAATTGCATGACGCCATGAAAATGGCGGGAACAGTCAGTTGTGGGTTTGCGAAACATCCCGCTTATAAGCACTGGGTTTCTTCAGGCTCCTTACAACTCATTGAAGCCCGTCGGTCTACTCCGGGTGACCGTGAGTTTGACCACAAACGAAGGTTGTTACGTAGTGAAATTGGGCAAAGCTTGGGTAAGGACCGAGAAGCCTGGTGGTCGATGCGTGCTAATGAGCTGGAAGCAGCAGCTGCATCTGGTAATTACCGGAAGCTCTTCCAACTCATCCGAACCACTGGCAGCAAGAAGTCTGGTGTGAGTGAAACAATCTGCGAGGATGATGGGATGCCAATCACTAACATCCATCGACGTCTTGGACGACGGGCAGAATTTTTCGAAGGGCAGTTCAACTGGCCTGCTGCTCCGGCAACATAGGTCAGACTGTCCTGCCCTCCATGGCCGGTGACGACTGATCCACCAAATGAGGCGGAAGTCCGCAAGGAACTCCAACTCTTGAAGCGTTACAAATCACCTGGCCCAGATGACTTACCTCTGGCTCTTTTTAAAGATGGTGGCGACTTTCTGACTAAGGAACTGACAACGTTGTTCACAAAGGTGTGGGAGCTAGAGAGTGTACCAACGTCATGGAATGAGTCGATAGTCTTCTCTATCTTTAAAAAGGGTTCACGTCGTTTCTGTAACAAATATCGGGGGATGAATACACTTCCAATTGCGTCCAAGCTATTAGATTCCGTCATACTTCCTAGGTTGTTCAAAACCCGAGAAAGATTGACTCACTAAGAACAGGCTGATTCCCGTTCTAGTCTAGGATGTATCAATCATATATTCATCCTCTGACAAATTTTAGAACAGTCATACTTATTACAGGCCAACAATCGTAGTGTTTCTTGAAATTAGGGCCGCCTTCCACTTGTTAGATAGGATTGTTCTCTGGGATTGTCTATTGAAGAAGGGTGTGCCTGCGAGGTTTATTAACATCCTAAAGGCTCTATACACAAACACCTCAGGTAGGGTGAGGGCATATAACCACCTATCTCCATTGTTCCATTCGAGCAGTGGGGTTAGACAGGGTTGCCCAATCTCACCATTCCTCTTCAACTTTGCCATCGATGACATTCTGGAAACAGCTCTGATGAGTGTAAGTAATGGCGGTGTAGATCTGCTGCCTGGAGAAAGACTTCTCGACTTTGAGTATGCGGATGATATTGTCTTACTGTGCGATAATGCTCAAGGCATGCAATCCGCACTTAATCAGTTGGTAATTAATATCCGTAGCTATGGCACGTACTTTTCACCTTCGAAGTGCAAATTACTTTCACAATACTGGCAGGATTCTAATCCTGTATTCACCCTGGATGGTGAGCAGGTAGTAGTCGGGAAGTTCGTGTATCTAGGCAGCTGCATAAGTGCTGGTGGGGGTGTGAGTGATGAGATCAATGCACGAATAGTGAAAGCCAGAGCGGCTTATGCCAATCTGAGCCACTTTTGGCGCCTTCGTGATGTTAGTCTGGCTGTAAAAGGTTGGATCTACAACGCGTCAGTGAGAGCAGTTTTGCTCTATGTTTGTGAAACCTGGCCTCTTGGAGTTGAGGATGTTGGACGACTCTCTGTGTTTGATCATCGCTGTCTCCGAAGGATTGCTGACATCTAGTGGCAACACCATGTTAGTAATGCAGAGGTTCAGCATCGTGTGTTCGGGCACAGAGGTGATAATGCAATCGATGTCACCATCTTGAAACACCGACTTCTGTGGCTTGGACATGTTCTACGTATGTCGTCCCAGAGAATTCCACGTCGTGCATTATTTGCCGACTCTGGGACTGGTTGGAAAAAGCGGAGAGGTGGTCAGTGCATGACATGGTGTTTTGGTATGGAAGAAATCTGCAAAGGACTGGCTTCTGTCGGTCCTTCACGACTCCCTGGTTGGGGTCCGGGAGATGGTGCTACACAGTGACTAGAGACGTTATCAGATATGGCTGAGAATAGAAGCCAGTGGCGATCCTGCTGTAACCTTTTACTTTCTTCATAAAAAGTGGTTGTGTCTTCCTTAACTGAAAGATTTCTTCTGATTGTACCTTTCCGTTCCCTCATTATTACTATTGTTATTATTATTACACTACCTTACACCAATCTCTTCGTTATGGTTTTTTATTATTTTCTACGTTCCTCACTCTTTTTTCTCCTTAGATTCTCATTGTTTTGTGTGGCGCATATATATTCGGCGCACTCCTGTACCAATATATATGTGTCCAAATAAATATTTTGAATCGAATGCAAAAAAATACGTTGAAAAATTGATGTTACTTGAGACGGTTAAATGACATCATTACGAGACATACACTTAGGTGAGATACATATCAACCACTAGCAATGATCAAACAACTGAGCCCCAATGCTACCTTCAAGTGCAACTGCACAACGGAACAACCGTTAGATAATATGTTGTACATTTTAATAACTATGTGGAGATCTGTGTAACGATTTAGAATTCACGTTCATTATGACTTGATAACCAACAAAATTGACCGAACGTAGGTTTAAGACTGTGATTCAATGAATAACCCAGTTAGTTATACCACTCAATCTTCACCATATTAAATCAAAACACAGGAATAAATCACACAGATGCAAATTAATTGTCTTTTCACAATCACCAGAAGAAAAAAGAAAGATCAAATAAAAATTTAGATTCTTAGCCCAATAAGAAATAAATACACGAATTATCAGTCCTAGTAGATTTTAAAACTGTCCGATGTTAAAACCATGAAGTTTCACACAAAACATGATATAAAACATGAACAGGATCAAAATACTTAAAAACGAAAAGAACTATATACGTTTTCGTTGTTCAAACTGATACATTTGTGCATCGTGGTAATAATCCGCTATTCCGACTGTGAAAACTACTATCCTCTTCTTTACCATGCTCCATTAACTACGGTAAAGCTTGGTGGAAGCTTTCAGATGTTAACCCAGTATGATCAATCAAGATACATTGTTTGTCGATTATATAACAGTTAAAAAGTGATAAGAATGTTTACACTGAGTGTTTGTCATTAACAAAATTGAGAGGATGAAAAGTGAATGTCTGGCGCTTTAACCGGGTTGGTGGACACGGAGACTCCACTTAGGGGAGTTGGAAAACCCTCACTCCAAACCAATGCTCCACATGGGCTCCAGTATCCTGAAGGAACAAATGGCATATGAACCTATTGTTGGTCACTGGTTACCATGGGACTACGTCTCCTAACGTTGTTCCACATATGGCGCATATATATTGGCGCTCTCTTGTACCAATATTTATGTGTCCAAATAAAATAAATAAATAAATACTGCCTTATGAATCAGACCTTTAAGTAGAGAGCTACGGGTGTGGCTCCCTAAGGAAACCACCTGATTCGGTTTGGTCACCCGGGCAGTATTCCAGCCGTCACACAGTTCGGATGAATTATTTATGTGGTGCATATTTATTTGATGCCTCCTTGTATATGTTTATGTGTCTAAAATACAATAAATACTACGTTTTGACTGATTGAAGTTGCAATCCGAAGTTTCACACACTTGAAAAAAACAAAATGCAGAAGAGGACTCAAACATAACTGCCGTGGACATCCTTTTTAAGTTACATCTGGTAATAAAGCTTAGTTTGTAAAACATATGTGATTCGATTCGGGCACTTCATATATGGACACACAAATAAACTGTAAACTGTGAAATCGAACTTTCAATAGCTGGCATTTAATAACCCTAATTTCCCCACATAATACACAGTAAGAAGCAACAAAAAGCCCGGCACAAGTATATGTTGATCTGAGTTATCCAACGCGTCTGTGAGATCACTTCCTTTGTTCTTGTGAAACAAGTGTTAACAATCAGAATATTCGTAGTCTGTTGGGACGGAAAGATGTTAAACCTGTCAGATTTCAGAGTCACTATTTGCAAGCTTTTACGAAATAAACGGTAGGCTGAGAAAAAACCAATGGAGGTTACGGTTTTCCTGTTATCAACATATTTCTTAAAATATAGCACAAATTGAACAGGGAAGAAATATGATGTTTAAATTACCTTGTGGTGACATAAGAAGATTGACCGACTCCATGATATCCAGAAACAGTTCATTCCTTCTGTATTTTATACCTTCACGGCGCCATCCAATCTGACCAGTAACTTGATTTGTTATTTGAGCAGTCTCCTCTTTAGTGGCTGCGCGTGTCCCAGCCTGAGTAATGAGGGATTTCAAAATTCCTGTATCTGTATTCTGTCCATATCCATAATCAATCACCTCTGTAACAAAAATCAGGTAAAAATTTAGCTTACCATCGAGAATTTCGTATATCAAAACGAAGTTATTTTTTATGTTTTCCTCCGTAACTCTACCGAAGTAATCCTTCATTAGGTTCAGAAGAGCATGCAGCAGCTGAAAGACCATAGCAGCATTAACATTTCGACGAGCAACAGCACATATCCAAATGTTTGCTCTTTTGACGTGAAAGAAACTTGTCCTTGCTACGATACTTATAGGCGAGCGGACCTGTTGTCGCGCATGAATTACATTGACTCGAAAAGCGTCTGCGGCATTTCTTGAGACATCGTCGCGAAATATTCTTGATATCAAAACTTCTCCTTTGTGGTTATAGATAAAAACTCCACCTATCATTTTTGTAACGCCTTAAGAGACTCAAGCGCCTTAAGCGTTCAAAAAACAATGCCAGATAGTCCTCTCTGAATTATTTTAAGGAATTATTTAAATGATCATGTACATAATGAAAGATGCTTTCATTAAACGAGCTAAAGTGTCTAGCAGTATTGAATCACTTGTATATCTAGGCACGGACCTAGACATATGAAAAAGTAAAAATGGAAAACAACTGGTTGATATGTCTGAGATATCATGCCGAGTCCTTAATAACATATCAATTTACCTCTTGTGGAACGAGGAAGTTTCGCAAACCACTTCAGTTACTAAACTTGACTATTCGTTAAAAGAGCAGACAGTATGGTTGCAAACAAAATTCATATAACACGCCTAAGTCCGATGGCATACAAAAGATGCTCGAAGCCTAACTCGCATTGACTTTGTATGTTCTGCTGTACGGATAAAAAGGTACTAATTCAGGAGGCTATGGGCCTATTGGCTTTGGCCTGCAAGAAAAACGATGATACATGCGCTGACAACACCGGCACTGACAGTGACGATTGTGTCAGTGTAGTACCTGCTGTTACGCGACGCCTCAAACAACCGACTCTGACCGACGCAAAAGTGAGGTCGTCGTTAACAAGGGGAGTAATACCACCTGGTACTGACATTGATAACAATGCACCTTTAGTGGGAACCGACGAACTGGATAAAACCATCACCGTTCCAAATAGTCCCAATGTCCTGAGGGATGAAAAATGGACTACGGTACTTAGGAAACGAAACGAAAGGAAAAAAGCTGTAGGCAGTACATATGTAGTTAGTAACTCACTGATGGACTCTCACTGTGAGTCACATACTGCACTACCAGAATCTGATGGTAAGAGTAAAGCCCATCCTGGAGTGACTGAGAAGAAAAATCAAATAACAGCTAAAACTAATGACTGTTTACTTGATAAGTCCTTGGTGGACTCTCAGACCAGTCCGCCAAAGCTCCAAAGTAAAGCTTCGTCTAATACTGTTGTGAGTCATTCATAGGACTCTGTTACAATAAAAGCTAATCATAAGATACCTGTAGTTAATATGCAGGATCTATCGTTACGAACGAAAGCTGTTAACACTATTTCAAAGGAGGCTAAACCCCTCCCTAGTTTAATTATTTGGATTCTAGAGGATTCGGAAGATAACGACCCTGCTAGAAGCCATGCACATGACCTGCAGTTAGTGGAGTCTGTGGTAAGAAATTTGCTACCTGAAGAGGTTTCAGGGGTACATATTACAAAAGTAATAGGACTCGGTAAATGGGTTGGAGGCGAGACCCAACCAAGAAGAATCCTGAAGCTGGTTCTCGGGAGTTTTGAAGAAAGAGACATATTATTGAAAAGCGCACTAAAAACTCGTGCCTCAAATATCCGTATTCGACCAGATTGGCCGCTTGAGGATCGAATCAAGTGGAAGAATGCTCTTACGGAGTTGAGGACTCGCAAATTAAATGGCGAAAATAACCTTACCATTAAGGGTTTTCGAGTAGTCAGGTCTTGGAAGCCAATGCTTCCGAGGCCTGTATGTGTAGAACGAATGATTGCCAAAACACCTTGAGCGTGTGCTACACGAACGCTCGTAGTCTTAGAAATAAAACGTCCGAGCTAAGTCTGATAGTGGAAGAATTATGTCCCGATATAATCGTTGTTACAGAAACTTGGTTAACAATAGATATAGACTGTTCATTGCAGGCTATATCTGTATTAGAAGTGATAGAGTTTCAAGTAGCAAAGGGGGAGGTATAATATTATACGTTAGGGATCACTTTCGTATACAATCAACAATATCGGAGGCTCATGTCAGTGGCACATGGGAGGTTGCATGTTGTAAGATTAAATCTAGAAATGGATTAGTGACTATAGGGGGAATATACTGTAGTCCGTTTCGTCTTGCTGACGACTTTATCCCAGGACACATCTGTTCTTGGAGTATGGCAGAATGTTGTCTCATCATTGAGGACTTCAACGCACCGCATATCAACTGGATAGAGCTTACAGCTCCAGGTAGTGGTTTCGATAGCGACCTTTTATCTACCGTTATTCAGTGTGCACTTGTACAATGTATCACAAAACAGACACATATTGATTTCAATCATGATCCGTCACTGCTGGATTTCGCCCTCACCCACCACTGTGAGGATGTCTTTGATATTCGGCACCTTCCCCCACTAGTGAACAGTGATCACGTTGTAATTCACTTGAAGTTTAGGACACATGGTATACAATTCGTATCTGCTCCACCCCGTCCCAATATCTGGCGACCTAATATTCCGGAAATCAGAAACTGTGCTATCTCGACTGATTGGTCGGTCGACGCGGATGGATTGATCGAAGATGAATGGAATACGTTTTAGGCTACATTCGAGTCCGTAACGTCACCGTCTATCCCATGGTCAGCACGTGAGCTATCACATTGCGCTCCATGGATTAATAAGGAAACCCGGGAGCTGTTAAAGCGTAGGAAACATTTCTGAGACTTATTGTTGTTGACAGGTCACGAACCATTTAAGCGTGAGTGCCAAAAATTCCGTAGTATCTGTAAGAAAACCATAGCCAAATCCCGTACCACTTACGAACGACAGTTGGTATATGATAGCCGTACTTGTCCGAAACGATTGTTTTCGTATGTTAAACGGCAGACGAAACGTAGTGATGGTATTCCCCCGTTACTGTTACACGAAAATTCAGAATTACTAGCTGAATCAGATCGAGCAAAAACGGAGACTTTTTCAAACTATTTTAGCGACGTCTTCTCTACGTTTATTGTAACAAATACTTGTCCCACTCACACCGAGATACCAACCATTGAATCTGTACAGTTGACTGAGGAAACTGTCCTTCCGTTGATAACTAACCTCAAACCTGGTAAGACACCGGGCCCTGACGGGTTACATCCACGATTGCTGTCATCTCTTGCCGACATTATTTCAAAACCGCTTGCGACACTCTTCAAAATGTCCCTTTCACTCGCCCAACTCCCTAGAGATTGGAAGGACGCTATAGTCAGTCCTATATTTAGGATGGTCAGAGACAAATAGTATCTAACTACCGGCCTGTCAGTCCAACTAGCATTGTCGTTGAGTTGAAAAGATAGTTCGGGTTAGGCTGCTAAGCTACATAGATTCACACAATCTGCTGGCTCCCGAGGAAAATGGATTTTGTAACAGGCATTCTTGCTTGACTAACTTATTGCGAGAGAGGATTTTACAACAGCCCTAGATAATGGTCTGTCTGTCGATATGATATTCATAGATGTTAGCAAAACATTTGACAAGGTTTCGCACTTATGACTTATGCAAAAGCTCACGAGCTTCCGAATAATAGGTACTGTACAGGAGTGATTAGGAAACTTGTGTGACCGCAGACAGAGAGTAAGGGTCGATGGGACGCTATCTAATTGGAAGCCGGTCAAAAGTGGTCAAAAGTGGCCCTCTACTCTTTCTTCTCTACATTAACGATTTGCTGCTGTTACTTAGGTCGTCGACATTATTGTTTGCGGATGATGTAAAAATCTGGAGAACAATAAAAAGCGCGGCTGATCATCTGGATCTTCAAGCTGACTTAGACGATTTAGTTAGATGGGCTCGAGGTTGAGACTTGGAAATCAATGCTAGGAAGAGTGTACTAATGCACATCGGTCACGGTAATAGTTACCGTTACACTATTGAGGGTAAACCTCTTCCTTGCGTTCAAGAACATAAAGACTTAGGAGTAATATTAAGTCATGATTTAAAAACAACTACGCATTGCAAAGCAACCACTGTCAAAGGTTTTCGTGCGTTATGGTCACTTCGCCGAGCGTTCAAATCTTTTGACGAGGAAACGTTTCGAATTTTATATCCCACCTATGTAAGACCACATTTAGAGTACTGTATCCAAGCAGCTAGTTCGTGTCTGGTAAAGGATACTAACTCCCTTGAGCGTGTCCAGCGTGTGAGAACGAAATTAGTGAAGGGTCTTTCTAGACTCCCTTACGATGAGCGTTTAAAACACTTAAATCTTTTCCCCTTGTCGTATCGTAGGACACGAGGTGACCTTATACTGGCATTTCGTATCTTTAATTATGATTTGGGTGTTAATATGTCTTATCTTCTTGCTCCCTCCAGCACTAATAATCTCTGTGGTCATAGCATGAAGGTTCATAAACCACGATCTAATAAACTTAAAGTGGGGTCCCGTTTTTCTCATCGAGTAGTCAATCATTGGAACGCCTTACCTGAACAAGCGGTATCAGCCCCATCAGTGAATACTTTCAAGGAGAAGCTGGACCTTCACTGGGAAGCAGTGTGTCAGGATTAATACAGGTTCATCAACCTACTATCCTTATTACTGAAGACTGAACATTCTTGGCCGCAACCCACAGGCTGCTAACTTGACGAATCGATCGATTTAATCTACAACTGCGGTAAAAGCATCGGAATATGAGTTCAGAGTTATTCACCTTATTTTATACAGGTACCATATCTCATATTTCTTTCACTGAATGATGAACAGGTTTTTTAAACAATCGGTCAGGACCAAGTCATTCTGTAGATAATACAGGCAACCTAATGGGTCTTTTCTCATTTCTCAAAACAAAAATATAATGATAGTATGATGAACAAAGGGTTGGTGTACACGCAAATTGCAAATACGTCTTTGAAGTTATGGTTGTAGACTGAAATTTACTAAGTGTTCTGTGGGATCCATAGAGGGTTTGTGATTTTGTTTTTAGTTACTGTGGCGTTTGAATGAATTAATGATTCGATTGTACTTGTTGAATGCTTGATTTTGAATTCCAAGTACAGTACATTCGTTCGTACTTATCTAGTACTTCTTGATCCAATTGCGTTATTTCTGGGATTCTTAGTCCGTACTATAATTCAAATACTCCTAATCATCATAGTTATCTATAAGCCACATATATCCTAAACAGTATAGATTCATTGTGTGAATATTTCATCGATCATTGAAGTTTAGTATCAAGGACCGGCTTGGTAT